TTTTTCATGGAAGAAAAAAAAAGGAGTGTGGAATATGTTCTTTCACAATGATAAAAAAAACATATAATTGACGTGGTATTCAAACAACCTTAATGAAAGATTTCTGAGACTTTATGTAAAGTCCTAAATGATTACACATTCTCTCAGCTGAAGAAAAGCAAATCCTGGAATACAATTCAAGTAACCCTGTACTTCTCAATGCGGTTCTCAAACTCAAAAAGAAATACGCATGTCTGCCACTAGGGGCACTGCAGAGGAAAGGCTCCAGTTTAGTTAGCTTGTTAGCTCGATCTTGTACTTCCTACAGTTGGGTGATTGTTGGTATGATAGTAGATCATAGTTTCTGTCCTCTCAGGTAAGAGAGTTTGTCTGACAAATTAGTTTATCTTTATAACCTCCTAATAATGTTCTACACCAGGGGTAGCCAAACGCCGGCCCTCCAGCTGTGGTGGAACTACAAATCACATGAGGCATTGCAAGATTCTCACAGCCACAGACAAGACGGGACAGAGAAGCATCATGGGATTTGTAGTTTCACCACAGCTGGAGGGCCGGAGTTTGGCTGCCCCTGTTCTACACCATCACAGTATAATGTTTCCCTAGAGTCTGTTTTTTTTCCTCTCCGTAACATGGTGAGACCAAAATCGAGAGTTTGGAAACTTTTCCACAGTGCAACTTCTGCTGAGAGCAAGGCTGCAATTTGCAAATATAAAATAGAGTTTGAAAAAGCTAGTTTGGTGTATTTACTGAATAAGTTGTACTTTTATTTCAAGCATAATAAACTGCATTTCACGTTCCTAGTGGAACAAAATGACTTTCAATTTGTAAAAATACTTCACACTGAATTTTTTCTCAATTTTTGCAAAAATTTCCATTTCTTCGCATGGCTTTAAAAATTCCAGAAATGTTACATCTCTAGTCGCCAGCACTCTAAGGCCCGTTCACACGGAGCGGTTTATCGCGCGATAATCGCTCTATGTAGCTCGTCCAATGCATTTCAATGGAGCTGTTCACATCTCACATCTCAATGTCGCCTGTAGCTTGTCGCTCGTGCATGACCCTTTTTTGCGCGGATATCGCACAATTCGGCTCCAATAGACTCTACAGTGTAGGTGAAATCGCGCTACAGAAGGGTCACTTTTGATCGCTGTTGATTGGTTACAGCCCAATGTAGCAGCGAAGAAGTCCCGCCCCAAAAACGCGCTACGTAGCGCGATAACATGTGCAATGTCGCTCCTAGCCACTCAGCGCGAAATCGCGCATAAAAACGTGCAATATCCATGTCGCTCAGTGTGAATGGGGTGTAAGGCCTCATTCATGCACAACGCAAGAGCAAAATTGTATATTGCGTACATACGAGCGTCTATGCGCGTATATACAAGCATCTATGCGCGTATATACGAGAGTATATGCGTGCACTATTTGCATTCCCAGAATGCATCATTCCTAATAGAAATTTTAATGAACTGTACGCACATGCGCTCGTATGCACGTAAAATACGCTGCCCGGACGCCGTCGGTTCCATTCTGTTTTTGCGCATTTTTTCGCTACGCAAATATACAGCTTTGGTCTGGCACTGTTCTGTTTTCTGTCCTTGACTCCAGTATCACATATTGGAGACTCGCCCTCTTTGTCCCTGTTCACACCTGGGCGTTTTGACGCTGAAAGCTTAAGCTTCAAAACACACAAGAATTCCCATTCATTCCTATGGCCCCTGTTCACACCTGAGAGTTTAGCAGCAAGCTGTAAAAACGCTGAACGCTGGATTTATCCCCTTGGCTAATGTGTAGGAGTTTATTATGTCAAGGGCAGGACTTCTTTTCATTGGACAACACTCAATACACCCATATGCAGAAACACGTCCAAAACGCGCATCTATTTAGGGGAAAACGCACATAAATGCGCAAAAAGGACGTAAAACCGCGCAAAGAAAAAACATGCGTAAAACGCACGGAAACGCTGACGCCTAGGTGAGAATGGGGACTTTGAGCTGCCTAACCGTGAGCCGCTGAGCTTCCTACAAATCACGTTGGATGTATCATATAGGATAGCGAGACTCCAGACACCGGGTCTCTGCAATATTCTCATGACCTGAAGGTGGTTGGCTAGGCCGGGATGACATAACAGCCGGCATTTACTTGATCACCACACCCATGCCATGCTGACAACGTGTGAGCCAGTGTACAATTACAAGCACATTGTGGTCAGGTAGAAGAGACAATTTAGAGATCTTCCGGCCAGCCATATACTGGGTGATGCCTTTCAATTAGCATTCCCATCACTAGATGTAGCTGAGGAGCATAGAGGGGCTGGTGGGAGAGTCTGCAGGAGCCCTGGCATTGCACCCACAATGCACTGATCACAGTTGCAATGCTCTGCAGGCTACAAAGCAAACATGTAATATGTGTACTTTTTAATAATTATGGGTTAATTTATTTTCCCCATAGTTCTCCTAAGGGTCACGGGAGGACATATACTGACCCCTCCCGTGACCCAGAGCTCAGTATATCGCGAGCAACAACTCACAGTATACTGAGACCGCCGCAGCCGGGACGGATTCCGACATTACTGTCGAGATCCACCTAGGTGCGTGAGTGACAGCGGGCTCTACCTATCTAGAGGCAGAGCCAGCTGTGCCCGTTCCCTCCCCCAGTCAGAGCTGGAGGATCGGGGCAGGGGGGAATCACTGCAGGGAGTTGTGTCTGACAGTCACCGCTCTCTGCAGGGAGATGATCGAGAAGTGAGCGACCGACGGTATGTGTTCGCTCACTTCCCGATCTATTGAGTTGACGTGTGACAGTTTCATTGTCACACGTCAGCTCGAACTATGAGGATGAGTGAAAATCACTCGCTTCATAATTCTACTTTAAATATTTGCAATATGGGGGGAATTTATAAAAACTGGAGCAGCTGTGCATGGCAACCAATCAGCTACTCTCTTTCATTTTCAACTCTTAGCTGAACCAACTGAACATAGAAGCTGATTGGTTGCCATGCACAGTTGCTCCAGTTTTGATAAACTCCCCTTAATGTCTTTATATAGGAATGTAGATAATTCTTGTCACAGCCTGCACTCCTTGTGCTGCACTGTCCTCCCTGTGTCCTCTCACTGAACACACAGCTGAATTACAGGAAGGCTGTCAGCGGACTACATAACACAATGATTATCAAATCCCCCCTCCATGTTATATACCTCCATGCAGCTGTACCTCCTCTTCACCCAGCAGCTATACACTAGTGTGACCACGTGACCGCACTCCCCAGTGCTATTGGCTGTACATAGGCAGTTCCGGATTGGCTGCTGAGTTCAGCGTGTGTTTTACCGGAGTGACGCGAATGTAGTATAAAACGCGGTAGTAAAAAACATTGAGTTCTTTCAGCATACTGCTTCCGCCGAATCATATTAGAAGGCAAGTGTATAAGAGCATGTGTCATTAAACATAACCTGTCAGTGCAAAGGTGAGGTAGCTAAATAGCAATAAACACATTTATTCCACAATATCATGTTTATAAAAAACGTCACTATTGCAGCAGTAGCTTAAAAAGTACATCTGGATTCCAGCACATCCTTGCAAAAACATGCTCGCACTGTCGTGTCACCGAACTACAGGAAGTTCAGAATTCCTGTTGACACTTTACTTCCGCCAGTCGGCTGAACCTGTTTGGGACGTTACTAAGGGAAGGAAGTCACGTGGTGCGCAGGAGGCGGGGGAGATGCTGACACAATCACGTGACGGGGGCCTTCGGAGCAAATGCTGGAGATGCTGGAGTGAGCGGAGCGCGATTACAGGTGAGAGTTGGGGGGAGAATCACGTGAGCACCTTTGGGGTAGCTGCTCTGGGCGTGACGTCATCCGCCTGTTAACCACTGAGTGGCTGGATGCAATTGTAAAGGGTGTACTGTAATTGATGAGCAGTTTTTACATATAAAAGTGGTGAAGTTTTTGTGGTAATGTAGTTTCAAAGTTTTTTTGTTGTTTTTTTTTTTTTTTTTTTAGTTATTGTGTTTAGAAAAGTTAATTTATACGAACTGCCCCACTTTCTTAAATTGAAGGGTGCGTTTTCTAGCAGCATTCTGATAATTGAATTTAGCGCGGCATTTTGTGGCTTTGTACAGCTGCGTCATCCAGGTGCGGGATCACTTCATGTGAAAGACTACAACTTCCATCTGACTGGGACTCTGGAGAACATGCTGGTGATCCTTCTCTGTCTCCGCTCTGTAGTCCTGGTGCACTTCCTTCAGCCCCATGGCAGCAGCTCCAGACCTGAAGTTGGGGGAAAACATTGATGGAACCCGTTCACTGCACCCGCAACGCACTGATCACAAGTGTGATGCTCTGCAGGCTTCATTGCAACAAAGTAGCAAATGCACCTTCATCATAAGATCAGTGTTGCTGCATTTATTACTTTTCTCTCTCGTTTAATCTGTGAGATATGCTACTGGTCCAAGAGCTAAAGTGGGGGCCCAAGCTGCTTGTCCCCCATGGCGGTCTGCTTGTCCCCCATGGCGGTCTGCTTATCCCTCGTGACAATCTACTTGTCCTGATGTCCTGTCTGCTCCCTGCTCTCCATGCTGAAGTCAGGTCCCCCAAAAATCACGATGGGGAGGGGGGAACAAGCAGGCTGTTACAAGTGATCACTTGTAGAAAACGAGTGGCGGCTCCCCTGCTCTACATTTACCGGTACTTGCCCGCAGCAGGGCTATATGTAGAGGGGAAAAAACACCCGCCCTGCGCCAACTGCATGTCCTGGGTGTCGGGCGATAGGAATCGTGCACCCCTGTACTATTGAAGGGCAAAAAAAAAAGCTGTTGAGTAGTGATGGCTGCCGGAGTTCTCCCAAGTCCACACAAAAATGTGACCTATACCACCCACCTGGTGCATTACTCACCCCGCAGCTACATGACACAAAGGGGTGGGGAATGTCGCTGCAACTGATTGGCCCGGGAAGTAGATGTGCAGTGATACTTTTGAGTGGGCTTGAGCAAACTGGGTTCACACCAAACTGTGCACATCACTACTGTTCACCTAATGAGATTCTGCTGACTGCTATCAGCATTGTTTCCAGTGCTCTGGGAACTACAGAACACCCCTCCATGGTGTGGCAGTTAGGAGAGGTGTTTTGCAGTCCTGATACACTTCCTGTTTAGGAGGGCCAAGGTTGCTCCTCCATAGATACAGTACAATGAGTGAACGTTGTCTCCCTAGGACAGGAAGTGTGTTATTGGCTACTGAATAAAGGCGGAAAAGCCTGAAACAAGAAAATGAATGCAGCCGGCACAACTAAGGACTGGTAAACTGCAATATATATTTTAGGATTAGATGGGCAGACGCTCCCATTTCAATTTAATAAAGTGGAATAGAAGGTTTGTAATAATGCAGTGTCTCTTTGTAATATAAACACATGCAGTAGCTGGCTTTGTTTTATAGTCCAGTACCCAGGGCCATCATCTACTTATGTCACCTGGGGGATTTACTCTCCATGTTGGATTTTAGTTGAATTAGTATTAATCTTGGTGCACCGAAATGTAAAAAAAAATGTCAGGCTGAAAATGTTTTAATTTGAACTTTTTCAAATTTTTTCAAATATATTAATTTTATTTACTTTTTCTAAACTTTTTAATTTTTTTATATTTATTTATTTTATTAAATATTTGTATCCTTTTACTTTTTAGGGGCTTCTGAGAAACATTAGGGTTCTAAATAGACCCATTGATATTTCCCTTTTAAAATAGAAAAAGAGATTGAGGACACAGAGTCCTCAATCTCTTTTTCTGCAGCCTCTGTTATGAATGAGCAGGAATCCTCTATACTGAGTGTTCCTGTTCATTCATAACATGAGGACAGAATATGTTTACTATAACCACAATTATTATGTAGATCACTTCCCATGCATTCATAATTTGAGGATATAGTACACATAATCTGTCCTCAATTATGTACAAACACTCCGCAATCACTCCTCTCTGACAGCTGTCACAGGAGGCTGAGCGAGCGGTGCAGGGAGGAGAGCTCAGCCTCCTGTGACAGCGCTGGCTGTCTCCGCCCACACACCACTCTGCCGATCTGTGACAGGAGGCCGAGCCGTGTGGGAGGAGAGACGCCAGCCGCTCGCATCGCTCTCCTCCCGCAGCGCTCGGCCGGCTGTCACAGTTTCTCTCCTCCCCGCTGGGACACAGAGCAGCGCCCAGCGGGGAGGAGAGATAGAACAGAGGCACCGCTGTATCGGCCACAAAATGGCACTTTCGGCATGATGACAAAAGTGCCATTTTCGGCCGATATACCGGTGCATCGCTAATTAATCTCTCAAACATTTATTCAGTAATGAATACAGGTCAAACAAATATTTGCCCAGCAAAGGTTTTGCCCGAACATTTACAGTCATCATGCTTCTGAACAGTGCCTACTCCCTCAGCTCAGCTTCCCTGAACTTCCATGGCCAATATACAGGGGTGTGGAATGCCGATGCCCGGGACATACAGTTCCAGGCAGGTGTTTTTTTTTTTTCCCCTCTACATTTGGGCAAGCAAGACTACATGTATGGCGGGGGAGCCATTTTGTACAAGTGATTTGAGCGGCTATACAGGCACCTAGATCACTTGTAAGCAGCCTGCTTGTGTGCCCCCAGTGGTTTTCGGGGTCCCCTGCTCTTCTCGGGGACCCCGGACCACAGCAAATGCCCTCAGGATGGGGAGCAGAGCGGAAAATGTCTGTTCTCCGCTCTGCGATCAGTGACACAGGACCACTGTACTCGCAGCGCTCCTGTGTCAGCTTTCGCAAGTGGAGTTGTACAGAAGATTAATCACATGTGGTGGATCTTCTGTGTTGGAGGGCAGGCTCATAAAGAGAACCTGTCACCTCCGAATGCTATCACATAGTGGCTTGTTAGTCCCTGTGTGATAGTAATAAAGTTTAGTAAAAAAAAAATGTTAAAGATAATAAAATGAAAATGGGAAAAAATAATAAGGTAAATAATAAGAAAACAAATTAAACCAACCCCGCTGCCCCCTCCATCTGCATGCGTATACACGCATGCACAGGGCTGTGTGAGTGTGAGAAATGGGGTGCACGCTAGCTGAGCGCTGCCCCCGTTCCACTGTGTGCCATACTGTGTTAGCCGGGCAGCAGCACTCTCTAACACGCACACTCTCTAACACGCACAATGTGCTTTAACGGGTAAGTTCGCTTTCCCAAGTCATTTTGGAAAACGGAATTACCCGCTTAAATCTGAGTTTCATAGAAGAGGCTTAAGTGGACCAGTCACACAGATGGAAAAAGCATGCTGGAGCGTAGAATAGGGCATTACACCTTATTGCTCTACCCCTAGACCTGACAACCATTTAACCTTTGCAGAGTAGAAAGTCTCTGCCATCTTCTGTTTTTTCCCCAGACAGTGTTTAATGAGGGGAATCAATCAAAACTGGAGCAGCTGCCCAAAGTAGGCAACCAATCAGATTTTCTTTCATTTTCACAGCTTAATTGAACAAACTGAAGATAAAAGCTGAATGGTTTCTATGGGCAACTGCTCCAGATCCTGTCTGCACCAGTTTAGATAAACCCCCCCCCCCCCTGTATATTTTGATCGCATAGCTATGTAATTATCATACATTAGAAGTCCCGTTCCCTTGGTGGTTGGCCTGAGGTGTTTTTAGAGTTCTCTGCATTAGAGATTTATAAGCACAGAGGCTCATTTCCTCCCGGCCTGTATGAAAAGAGGCCTTGTTAATGGAAGCCTTTAAAGTCCATATAAATATGTAGGAGTTTGCATAGGGGCCTCCACCCTGGCCTGGGTGGGAGCTCTGACTAACCTAGAGATTTAGCTGAGCGTAGGACAGGTGTACACAAAGTACAAGCACCCTGCAAATAATCATCATCTACTTATAGGATGAAAGAACATTTTATGTTTAAAGTGAAATGCGTGTCCACTAATCACGGGCTGCAATGCTCTGCAGAAAAATGAAGAAGGGCACATTTAAGGGACAATTTGTGAGGGACCAAAAAAGTTAGATCGTATACTAACCTTTCACATGGCTTCTGACCGCTCCGCGTACACAAGGGTGAGGTCAGCCTTTCCGGTGACATCTGGGAAAGGTAGAGTAGACCAAATCTCATGGTGAAGACGCTCCTACACAGTACTCACCATTTCCCAGGATCTCGTTAGTAAGATGATGACCTCACACCCGGTATTATGAAGGTGGAAGGAAAGGTGGTTATAATATTACACTTTTCCCCCATATAGGTGTCCTTTTTTTATATACTTATAGTTGCTGTTTTAGCAAGCTTGAAGGGGGCACATTTAAAAAGAGGACATAGCATGGAGTATAAGATGCACTTTAAAAATAATCCCGATGCCACACACATCAAGGAGTGTCCGATGCCCGTTCCTCCACTGCAGGCTGTGGTTCCAGCTTTGACATCACTACACAACACAACACAATAGTGGTATAGGAGCCAGGGCGGGACCAGGGATCCAACACTCCCAAGGCATGGGTGGTGATGTGGCATATATAATTATTATTTTCTTTTATTGAATTTCCATAAGTTCTATTCCACTCTTAATAACCATATCGATCTAAACTTACTGATTGAAGATGCCCATAGGATGGACTTCCTCAATACAATGACACAATTTCACTCAGCCCTGTCAATGTATACTTTCTTGTGTCACCACTCTGAGAGCCTGACTTCTGAACTACAACTCAACTTCTAAACAGTGTAGGGTTATTATTGCTTGCTGGAAGCAATGCATGATGGGATATGTGCTCTTGCGAAATGGAGATTGCATCACATCAAGCAGCAGGGATTGAGATGCAAAGCACACTGGGAATCCAGGAAGTTGAGCACTGGCCCTGATATCTTGTTTTGGGGTGGCTCTTCCCCTTTGAAGGTTCCTATGGAGAGATTCTTGTGTGTGACTCCACAAATACACATGCATAGAAAGGCAAGCCAGTCGTCTCCCTCTCCTCTCTTCTTCAAGCTAGTAGATGGGACGGCTGCTGGGGACTGCTCTGTCCCTTGTGATCTTGTACTGGACAGGAAGTTCAGGGATGCCGAGCTGAGAGAGTCGGAGCTGTTTGGAAACCTGATGACTGTAGGTTCTTGGGTAAAAATGTAAAGAAATACTTGACTGGGCGATGTATATTTGTTTGATTTGGATGCATTATTGAAAGAAAAGTTTACATAGTATTTGAGGTTGAATAAAGACATTCGTCCTTCAAGTCCAACCTATTAGGATCTCATTCTAGGAGTACCTGTACCCCTGTATATTACCTGTACCCCTGTATATTGCGGTCCCTTAAGAAATCGTCCAAAAGTTTCTTGAACAATTCCACATTATTTGCTGAAATCACTGTCTGTGGCAGTGAGTTCCAGACCCTAACTGATCTTACTGTGAAGAACCCCCTTCGCCCCTTGTGCTGGAATTTTTTTTCCACCAATTTTAGGTGGTGGCCTCTAGTTTTTGTAATGGAGTTAATTTTAAACAGTTTATCGCTAATGTTGCTACCACCATTGAACATCTTGTACATGGAAATCATATCCCCCCTTAATCTCCTCACCTCCAATGTGAACATGTTTAAATTTAGTAGCCTCGTCTCGTAGCTCTGGTCCTCCATACCCCTAATTAGTTTGGTTGCCCTCCGCTGGACATTTTCCAACTCAAGGACATCTTTTCTTAGTACTGGTGACCAGAACTGGACCGCGTACTCCAGATGAGGTCGAGCCAATGATCTATAAAGTGGCAAAATTATAGACTTGTCCCTGCAATACATCCCCTTTTTAATACAGGACAAGACCCTGCTAGCTTTGTTGAGAGTTTAATATTACTTTAAAGAAAACAAAAAAGTCCAGCTTTACGTTTACATTGGGCCGCAGATGGCCTACTGCGAGGATGGAATTTCTAGGGAAAGTACAGTCACAGGATCTCCGTATGGCAGAGTTTGTGGTTTATGACCAGAACAGTGAAATCAAAAACAGGAAACGAGTGTTTCATTGTCATCTCAGGAAGGAGTGCTACAACTCTTTTTCCAGGGTATCTTTAATCACAAATGTAACAGCCAAAAATCACAAGTCAGCATTCTAGCGAACTTGCTTGTTCAGGAAAATGTATTTCACTTGTGCGCACCGTCTGGCTGTGAGGCTTGGCAGTTGAGTCTGAATGAGGAGCGGGTGGGTGGGGGTGTTACAGGTGTAAATGTGTAAAATTATTTCATTTAATTAGGAAAATGGATTATAACGGGGAACATAACACTGTAATGTTGCCTATTATTACAATCTATTTCTCTGATTAATTGATTAGACAGGGCCACTGTTCTATCAAAGTTTGTGACCAGGTTGGAACCTCTGACCGGTGACGTGGTCACACATTTCAATGTAATCCCGCCCAGTTTTTTGGCGGTGAAATTTGTGACCACCAATAAGTGACGCATGTCAACGCTTTCTCAGCTGTTCGAGCGCAGATCGTATGTGCAAGCGAGCTGATCTGCCCTGGAACAGCTGTTCGGTCCTGAAATGTCACTTCTATCCGACTTTGTGAGTGGGGTGGAATGTGAGATCGCACTCAGTCGGATAGAAGTGACATTTCGGGACCGAACATCTGTTCCAGAGCAGATCAGTTCTCCTGCACATACGATTTGCGATGCCGATCTGCCCTGGAACAACTGAGAAAGCGTTGGAGTGCTTCACCTATTGGTGGTCACACATTCCACCGCCAAAAAACTGGGCGAGATTACATTGAAATGTGTGACCACGTCACCGGTCACACATTGTAACGTAGTCACAAACTTTGATAGAACACCGCCATCAGGCCGGTACCCATGTGAGGGGTCTGGGCAGCTTAGGGGTGGCGTGACGGGAGGGGGTGGAGGAGGCCAGGCCCCAGCAGCAGCAGGTAAGAGGTGTTGGGAGGAGGTTCAGGGAAAGAGGCCCTGCAGAGCCCACCATAGAGAGTCTCAGATGGGCTGTGCAGGATATATGGTGTGCTCTGCAGGGTCACTCTCAGGTGGGGTTTCAGGTAAGCCCAGAGTCCAGTGCATTACTAAGCCCACATATACTTATATACATGCTATACATAGCATAAAGGTACAAAACGATATTTGCAGTGTTATCTTCATTTTAGATGTCAAAAGGGTTTTGTGGCTCCCGGTGTTTTCTTTTCTGTGGGAAATGGGTCCAAATGGCTCTTTGAGTGTTTAAGGTTGCTGACCCCTGGTCTAAGGTAACATTGCTGTTAAAACACACCTTGTGTAGCTGACTCTAAGTTCACTGTGAGTGAATCCTGATCTGGCTGCATTATGTAATGAGATATTGCTTGATGCTGCATGTGATCATTCATTGTGCGGACAACTAAACCAAAACAATAATTCTCCTTACAGGTTGGCTAAAACACCCTGAATGCTGCAGGATGGAGGGGACCCAGGAGAGTCCTCTGATGCTGATATACACCTTGCAGGAATTACTGGGTCATGATACAGTGCAAGTGGAGCTCATCCCAGAGAAGAAAGGCTTGTTTCTCAAACACGTGGAATATGAAGTGTCCAGTCAGGTGAGAACATAGCACATGTTAATGTGATATAAGTAGTGTTAAAAGAGTTCAGTTTAAAGCTGAACTCACGGCACCAAATATTTAATTTAAATACCCTGTTTCCCCGAAAATAAGACCTACCCCGAAAAAAAGACCAAGTACTATTTTTGGGAATTGCTAAAATATAAGACCTATCCCGAAAATAAGACCTAGTTGTGACAATGCACAGGGCCAGTGGTGGCATAAGGGGGAACTTGAAGAGCCGTGGGAGAGGCAGGAGAGAATAAGCGGTGCCAGCGCTAGAGGAAGCGAGGCGGCACCGGAGGGAGCAGAGCCGCATAAGCCGATGCCTCCTCTATAGCGCCGGCTCTTGTCACAGGCGGAGTGATACCAAATGCACTCCACCTGTGAGAAATCGAAAGTGAAAGCGCGCTTCGCTCATTCTGGCCAGCGATTGGTTAGCAAATTGCTCTTGGAAATGTACGGCACCCCTGGTTGCCCTGATCACCATATTTTTGTACATGAATAAGTGTGGATTGTTGTACATTAAAAAAAAAAAAAATAAGACCTATCCCAAAAATAAGACCTAGTGTGTTTTTTTTTGTTTTTGTTTTTTTTTTTAAACCCCCCAAAAAATATAAGACAGTGTCTTGTTTTCGGGGAAAAAATACAAATATAAATCCACTTTTAGGATAGCAAGAGAGAGGACAATCTCCAACAGCTGTCCATCTACTAGCCTGGAGGAGAGAGGAGCAGAGAGCAGAGAACTGTCTTGCCTTGCTATGTTTGTGGAGACACACACAGCTTACTAGCACACACAAGGGTGACTCTATAGGACCCTGGACAAGTATCGGTACTTGTACTTGCAAAACTGGTATTGATGCATCCCTTATATTTATAAAAACAAATCATACATTATAACAGAGATGTACAAATCCCAGGAGCTCCGTGTGCTCCTTACAAATGACAGCTGCCTCCTAACTTTTGAATTTTTCTCTTGTCTAGTCTTGGTGCTGGAAAAGTATCGGTACTTGTACTAGTACCAAGTACGGTACTTGGTATCGGTGCATCCCTAGTTTGCTCCCTTTCTGGCCAGCAGTGAGGTGTCGCTCCGTTGCTGCTCCCTCTCTGGCGGGTAAGCATTTTACCTTAGATGGAGCAGCATTGTAGAAGTAGATCAGTGTACCTTCTAGCAATCATGTTCCCTTCGAAGACAGGATCACTAGTCTGACATAGGCCTAACTCTAAAGGCTAGTTCACACCAGATGCAGTTGTGATGAAGTCCATTCAGTTTGGTAGCTGCATCCACAATGCATCACTATGGGATTTCTGATGCACTGTTCACACCAGAGCAGTCCTGATCACAACAGAATGCATCAAAATGCATTAAAAATGCACTGGAATGCACCTGGAATCCCATTTTAAGCTGCAACAAAAACTGCGTCAATCGCGATACAATACTGACAAGCAAAACAAATGGCAAACGCACTCATCAATTTGTTACCAGCTTTAGAGCAAGGTGCACATGGAAGGGCCTAATACAGTACAAACAGCAAAAAGTTTTCCCAGCACAATCGCCAGCCAGCATGCAAAAAAAAAAAAAAACTTGTCTCACAGCTAAGGTTAAAAACAGAGGTTTAGATGCACGTCTTCTGCAGAAAATGTTAAAGCTGCGCCAAGGCACCTCCTAGATAATGCGGTCCTAACTCTAAACTATGAGAGACTCCATCTTGGAGCACATGAGGCAAAAGATCAAATTGGGTGCAGGTTTGTCAGGAGGAAGCCCGACCTCCCTTAAAGGCACAGGTACGCACAAGGGATCTCACACATCACAAGGCAGCTGAGACCCCCCATGCAAACGCACTCATCAATTTGTTGCAGCTGCGCAGACGCACACACTTCTGGTGTAAACTAGCCCTAAACATCTTGTTAATATTGTTTGAGAATGACCTCCAGATAAATGTTTTAACATAATGATCTCTTGATGCTTCTTTACAGTTCTTTAAGTCTTCCGTGTACAGAAGATACAATGACTTTGTCATGTTCCAGGAGGTGTTGCTGCAGAAATATCCATACCGCATGGTACCAGCCCTCCCACCCAAGAGAATGCTGGGAGGTAAATGTCATCTGCATCTTTATTCCTTTCAATGACAGTCTATGCTAATTTATCCACACATACAGCTGAAAGCTGCTTTCTCCTTTCATCTAGAAAGGGAAGACCTTGTGCACGTTTCTCCCCCCCCCTATTGATCGTCGCTGTCCTTCTGTTCATATTACTGTCAGTCAATTTTGTGTAATGAGCTGCACTGAGGTTTTGCTGCTTGCAGTTGCTCATAGTACAGCGCAGCCCAGCTTTGGTGAATTGTTGAAAGCAAATAGCTTTCCGCAGCCGGCCTGTGTCAGTTCGGAAGAAGCTGATGAGCTCTAAGTAGTAGTACGGTAGCTTTAAGCTGACAATACACTGTTCTGTTTTTATCGTATAACCCATGGGCTGAACAAGAAAAATGCAGATACAGATTCCTCCATCAATACTTAAATGAGCATTGATCGAGGAATCCCCAATATTGCCTATGCAGCCTTAACAGCGGCTGCTGGTAGAATGCCTGAACAAAGCTGGCAGCTCATTGGCTCGATGCTGATTTGCTGGGAAGCCGGTTGCCTGGCCAATCGCAAAGGAGCCGGCTTCCCGGGCAATCGGGAAGCCAGGCAGCATGTCATTACATGCTGCCCAGCTTCCTGATTGCCTGGGAAGTCAGCTTCATGCCAGCGGAAGCACCGGTATCGGTGAGTATTAAAAGCAAAATATACAGAAAAAACATTATCGGCACATCCCTAGTTAATAATAATAATAATAATAATAATATTATCTTAAACTTGTGTCTATTTTAACCTATGTGACTATTATTTTCACACGGTCATCCTGCTAGTACCACTGTCCTACCTGATGCTTGCTCTCTGATCTGTATCTGGGGAGGAGCAGCGTTGTCACAGCGTTGTCTTCTTTTATAATAAATACTTTTTACCCTGTACGGGTACAACCTGACAGTTTTAAATTCGTTTTCCAATGTTCCCATTGGAAGCACTTGTCTTCGGCCACCTAGACTGTTGCCTGAAGCCTGCATACTTTTTTCACCCTTCACATAAGGACTTTACAATGGCTCTAAAGCTGACTCTGTTTGGATTTTGAACAGGTCTTGCTGATGAAATTCAAGCTGTGTGTGGCCCTGCCAGCACCACTCCGTTCAACAAAAGTACTTTTGTCAAAGGAGCCGGCCTGAAAATTGCTGGCCGCACAGCGACTGAGGCCAATTGGCTGCAGTCACTGTTCATGTAGTCTGACAGCTGTGGGTACAGGCAGTCCTAATAGAATAGGCTGCAGGGTAGATTCCTCCATTCATGCTTTTTTTTTAGGGTGGTTGGTGGGATCAAGGGTTTTATAAAGACGCTTAGCGACATATTTATAAACCGCTCTGCAAATGTCAAAGTTTTAGAGTCTAAGCATATGATGAATTGATGAGTGCTTTTTCCATTTGTTTTGCTTTTGCAAACCAGGCGCCCTCGGGAAAATAGTACAAGCTCTCGTCAAAACAGGCGCACATGTTAAAAGGAGCGGCTAAACAGATTTGCACATTTAAAATTATCTAAGAGGCTAAAACTGTTGCAATTGCTGTGATCAATTCCCCCTGTGTATTTTGTAGTCGTGCAATATTACCACATTTGCCACAGACTTACAGTGCAGGTGACACTGTAAGTCAAATCTGGAAATTGTGGTTCCTTGGGAAAGCCGCTTTGTTAGTAGAGAAATAAAAAAAAAATGGAGGTTTTCTAAATGTATAGCAGATCCACCTTAAAGTGTTGGAGATTTAAAATTTTTCACAAGTACAAAAAGTTTGGAAAAGTATTCCATTGTTCGGGCAGCAGGCGGCTCTGCATTATTATGTGTGCAGTACAATGACATTGGCAGACACAGTTTTAAAATACTTTTTCAAAGCAGCGCCTGAAGTGACATGTCTTCAAACCGGTGAAGATCTATGTTCCTTTCACTGAGATGAAACCCTTTGAGAAGTGTGCAAGTTATTTTTGTCCTTCATGAAACGGCATAGATTTGTTAGGGAGGATATGAAGACGGCAGGAGGAGAGTGAGCGGTGACGGCACTGTCACAATCTGTGTGCTGCCCGCTTTGATCAGGGCTGATGTGAAAGGAGATAGTTGTAAAGAGCTCATTTACAGAAAGAGAGAGGCGCCCTCAAAAGTGATAACTGTTTATTTTTCAGCACTTCAAGGGGAGATGTCAAATTCTGAGAGAACTCTTTTTCTGAGGATCACAGAGACTTAATTATCTGAAATGGGATTTAACCCATTCACGTATTGTTCTGTATTTTAAGTTATCGTTTCCATACACTGTAAAAATCATATTGTATGCACTGACTGCTTAAAGGGGATTTAAGCTCAAAGTTCATGTCCAATTGGACCAGACGATGGAGATTGTAGCCTGGGGAAGGGTAGGTAGAGCTATTAGAAGGATAAACTTACCTGTCCTTCCCTTGATTCAGCTCCACTTCAAACATTGAAGGCAATAACCTGAAGGAAGGTAGGTAGAGCTTTTACCGTAGAACAACGATACACTTAGCTTTCATCAGCTAAATACAGGTCCTCGTCAAACAATGGAGGTTGTAGCCTGGGGAAAGGTAGGTAGAGATATTAGAACAGGGATCAACTTACCTGTCCTTTTTGTTAGATCAGTTCCACTGTAAATGAAGGATGCAGTAGCCTGGATAAATGTAAGGTAGAGATTTTAGGAGGATAAGCTTACCTGTCTTCAGCTAGATTCAGGTCCAGTGCAAATGATGGCAGCATTAGCCTGGAGAAGGGTAGGTAAACATTAGAACAAAGATACTATGGATGCACCAATACTGGTATCTGTATCAGTGCTGATACTGAGTATTTGGGTGAGAACTCGGCCAAATGCTCTGATACTTACCCCGATACTGGCAGTGCCGCGAGGAAGCATGGAGCTGGCTTCCCGGCCAATCAGGAAGCCATTCTGTCTAGCAACAAGTGAAGGCTGCTTCCTAGCCGGTAGGTGGGTCATGATGTGCCGCCAGGCTGCCTTGGAAAGTGAAGCCAGTGCTCTTTCGATCGAACACCAGCTTCCCAGGCAATCAGGAAGCCAAGCGGCAGACCCAGGGATTCCGGTATTTGGTATCGCCGAGTACCGCAAAAAAAAATATTGGTATTCGATACCAAAAAGCGGTATTGGTGCATCCCTAAAAGATGCAATTCCCTGCCCTCAGCTAGATTCAGGTCCACTTCAAATGAGAGAGACAGTAGAATGAGGATAAACTTCCCTGTCCTCAGTTAGATTCAGGTCCCTTTCAAATGATGGAGGCAGTTGCCTGAGGGAAAGTAGGTAGGTCCTTTGTTGTGGCAAATAGAATTTATGCGCTCTCTAATCAGTTGCGTTTAAAGTGACCCCGTCAAATCTGTAAATGCTTTCAACGCTTCTGGGAGTGTTGGATGTCTCTGTCTTCTGCTGCATACAATCCTCAGATCCTCCCCATGTTGCTGTGGTTTCCTGTAGTGACATAGGGACCACGATACACAGCGGGAGACACAGGTATCCAACATTGCCAGAAGTGTTAAATGCTGAAGACGTTGCAGGAGACTACAATGCTGAAATGGAGGGAAAGTAAGACACACTGACCACCAGAGAGGTGAGTATGGGAGCTCTTCTATTGTAGGGTCTTGCTGTTAGCATTTCTTTATTGCAAACTCCAGGTGTCCCCATGAATAATTTCCCCTCTGCTGTTTTGTTAACAACTGTAACATTTTGTATTTCCCATCACTTTCTGTTTTCTTACTAGCCAAACCAAAAATAAGGTTTTGCTAGAGATAAACTTGGGGTTCTGATCGATTTTCAAAGCTGGTTGTATCATCTTAGGATCTCCTGAACCCACAAAATAAAACAACTGAACATTTCACCAACTTTTTCTTACAATAGGAGCATAATATGGTACGAGTTATTATATGCATAATATGCTTTATATACAGACCACCTTTTACAGGCTGTGTCCATCCCCTTCACTATATCACCAATCCTGAAGGATCTGATTAAAAACAAAAATTATACATTGTGGGAAATTCATGGTTTCCACCTGGTTTAAGTCTGATCATATATGACATAATAATAATGAAGGGAATTTTAATAAACAATTATGGAATTATTTGTGCCTATTTTGCACAACAGTACAAAATTAATCCCGGTGGTAAGCTTTGACCACAGCACAAAATTATATCTTTACAGTTGTTTGTTTTTTATTTTATATCAGCGGATCGAGAGTTTATAGAATCCCGGAGGCGAGCTCTAAAGAGGTTCATTAATCTAGTATCCCGGCACCCCTCTTTCTGGGATGACATACTTGTGACTATCTTCCTTTCATATAATGGTCAGGTAAGTACAGCTTGCTTTTTTGTAAAAAATCTGTGTGAGTAAGTTGCCTTTATTTTCAGTTTGAGCACAGCCAGAGAATTGGGGTCTTGTCACAGCGGCAGTAAACATTACAGACAAGGCTGCGTCTGGTAACATAGGGTTTGGGTCCCAAAATGACCAGTCTTCACCCAATGTCTGTGTGTGCAATCTTACAAATGACAGATTACTTGGTCCAATGTCTGCTTGATTCTAATTCGAATGGTGGTCACTGTTGCATCAAATCAGTTTGCTCAGATCTTTTATCTGCAAATAGTGGCTTTGACTGACTGTGCCTGAAAATTCAGACAGTCTGCACTTGAAGTGAGACAATGTTTAATATGATAGCTAAGGGGCTGGCATACTTGTAGACTTTTGTTTTTACTATTAGGTTTTGTTTTTTCCTTTCCCAGGTGGTGCATGGTACACCCAGAGCATGGTGGTCAATGTTCATATTCCACACTCCTCTCTATGTATAAGTCAAATGCATAATGTATTGAAGTCAAAAGGGTAGGCAAGGGGTTTATTTATAAAATTTTCCATGCTCATCACCATCTAGGGCCACAATTGTCATGCAAAAAGCATCCACCCAGTGTATAACTTTTACAAATGAACCCCTAAATGTGCCTTTTTGTTGCCTACACCTTGCAACAATTGCCCGTATAATGTAATGACTGACCATTTTTTGCTCAAGTATTGTAAGGATTTCCCATGTGCTGCTCGCTTATTGTCATGATTGCCCGTTTCTTGCCCATGTATGGTCAAGTCAGCACTGTTTGTTTAGAGAACCCTGGTACTATAATTGAAATCCCTACAGGCCTGCCACTATCTAACCACACCATTATTATCCCCATGTTTCACTGTGGTGCACTGCAGCATGCCATTTACTTACTGTTTGCTATAGGTCCGTTAATTGGTGTTTTTTTATATCGGTGTTGAGTTTGGCCTTATTAACACAAACAATGAAAATGAAAAATTTCTAGATTTGTCAATCAAGAAAGTGGACAGTAGTAGGTAGAAATGTTAACAAAATATGAATGGCTGCGATACTGTGTGAAATAAAGATTGGGACTTCTCGGAAAAGATGGTGAAAAGTGCTGCAGTGGTTTGCATAGTTCACGATAAAATGCTCTTTGTCTCTTTTGGCTATAACCCGCTGGCCTCACCCTCACCCTGTCCACTCCTACCCCATCTCTAACCTTTCCCCCATCTTGCTTACTCTCCCCCTCTCTTCCTTCAGCCCCCTTCCCCATCTCATCTGCACCAAAACGACCCGTGGATTACTGGGGACATGCCTGTGTTACTCCACTCCAAACCCCCCCGTGTTTAACTATCTACCAACTTCAGCGCACCCCCTTCTCCCCGTAGCACCCATGCCTACTTTTATACCCATCTACATTCTTCCCACCATTATACATACATTCTAGGTGACTACCCATGGGCCTTAGAGTACAACTCCCAACCACATCTGCCCTTCAAGGTCCTTCCTGCAAATCTAAGAGCACTGACTCTCAAGGTCAATGGACTTGCTTCTGATTCTACCCACCAATTGTTTTTCACTTCACACCTCTACCTGGTTAAATTCTTTTGTTTTGTTTTTTACTGATTTCTTTTTCTATAGTCTTTGCTATTATAAGGTAAAATATTAATTCTGACTGATTTCTATGGATTTAATTTTTTACTTTACTCTTCAGTAAGCCCGAATGTTTTCAGAAGCAAGTAAGAATATATATATATTTTTTCTTGTGTTGGTGTTTAGGATGTACAGAATAAAATGCGTGAATCTTCCCGTGGGGTGGGAGATGAATATATGATGTGCAAATTTGCAACACAAGCCAAGGTATGTATCATCACAATGTCTTTTATAAATCTATACAGAATATTGATTTTAAATAAAGAAATGTCAACCCATCTAAACCTCATTATTAGACCAGCAGCTAGATCCTTTTTCCTGAGGCAGGCTTCTGTTTTGTGCGCGGCCTGTTTTATGTTGATTCCTGGCTCCGACTTTGTGCTGTATGTCTGCTGATTTCCTGTCTTCTTGCTGCTCTTCTTGCAGGATTTCCTCCCAGCTGATATCCAGGTCCAGTTTGCAGCCAGCAGAGAGCTGATCAGGAACATCTTCAACAGTTTTTACAAACTCCGGGATCGAGCGGAGAGAATGGCTGGAAGAGCCATTGATAATGCCACTGATCTTTTGGGCTTTGGCAAAGAACTAAGGTAAATCAGTTGTCAAATGCCAGCCCACCCAAAAGTGATCAGGGTGGAGCCTGGTGGTCTAAGTCCGCCTCTGGTTTTTATATGTCTTGGGTGTTCTAAAAGCAAGATCTCTCGGTTATAATTCCAGACTCTGCACTTGTCAACATGGGAGTTTTGGGCAATTCTACCCAACTTTGTCTTGCAGCACCTCCTGTTGCAATCTCCACATTATAATATCATTATAAATTCAACAGGTAGAGCGGAAACTCTTTTTAATGGGTATGGCAGGTGTGCAGACCCAGGAGGTCAAAAACGGATATCATGCCAATAAATTCTTTAAGAGATATAAGCACTGTCAGTTGGTTTAACTTTCCAGCATTTGCCATAAAAAAATAACCATTTTAGGTGGACTGACCATTAAAATGCTGTTTTAATGTGCTATCTAACCTCAAGTATTGTGTTTATTATTCTTGGTGTACTCTGCCTCTTTTCTATCCACAGTGCCTTAGGTTCTGACACTACCCCACTACCCTCCTGGGCTGCTCTGACCCACAGCTCCTGGGGTGCACTAAAGCAAGCACTAAAAGGACTTTCTGTTGAATTTGCTCTGCTTGCTGATAAAGCAGCACAGCAGGTATGTGACTATAGGTTTATCTGATATATCTTTGTTTTTTAGGATATTCTGCAATTCTGTCATCATGAGTTGTCAAATGTTAGCCCACCGAAAGGCAATCATGGTGGGTTGTGCTGCTGTGCAAAGCTTACAAAACTGAACAATTTAGGTAACAATAACACACTTAGTATTAATAACACACTCCATTTAGAGCTGAAGGTTCACTTTGGGGATCATGATTGGATTATTTTACAGTTTAATCTGTCATCTTATGTAAATTTGAGTGCATCATCTGTCCCTCCAGCCATGGCCATCCTGAAGTGCCTCCACAATAGGCATGCACTTTGTGGTGATCCTGCCATCACATGTCATCACAAGTTCTGGATGCACACTTGGGTGCACTGTTTGCATTGTCTCAGGTACATTGACATCTGCGACAGTTTCATTTCACTCCTTGCATCTTCTATGAGCAGATGACATTGTTAAAGTGAACCTGTGGCCAGGTTATTGACAGTAAAATGTTGTATATAGTCTTAACAAGCAGCAAATGATAAAACAAGTCTTCACTGACCTCTGTAGCGGCAGCCACTGTAGAGCAATGCATCCACAAAGATTGCAACAGACACTCTGCAATCTGGTGCTGTTCTGTTTCTGAAAAGCTTAGGGCACCTGGTATTTGTTTACATTAGAAGGCAGTCATGCTGCCAAGTCCCTGCTCCCGAAGGAAGTAAGGATTTAGCTACTGTTTTAGTTATTCCTCTGCAAACTTCGAGGATGAATTGCTCCACAGTTCCTTCAGCTTTTGTCACAACGCTCAATTTCTGCTTGTTAAGAATATGTAAACCCCCCCATTATTCACCATTTGAGCAACTGGCACACTCAAGCAACTGGCAAAAAAAAAAAAATCAAGGACATATGTCCTCCTTTTTGTGTGCCGGTTGCTTGAAAGTCGTGATGACAATTAAAAAAATGTAGTTATCAACTAAATTTATTTAGTTGCTAATGAAATTCTTTGTTTCCACTTTGCTGCCGACTGGTGGCTACATCCTGCAGTCGGCAGCACAATGTAAACAATGGGGACCAATAGCCAGCCTGCTATTGGCTATTTCAAACTGCAATAGCAGACTGGCTATTGCACCCACCCACTGAGCAGAGCAGTGGACCTGAAAGATAACTTACTCTCTCATGTCCGCTCCTCTGCCAAGTGGCCCGGTACAATAGCCAGCCTGCTATTGGCTATTGCAATTTGAAATAGCCAGTAGCAGTCTGACTATTGCACCTGCCCATTGTCCCCTGTCTACCTTCACCTGTCAGTTGTGGAATCTAGCCGGCAGATGAATCGGGGGAAGGTGAGGGGGCTGCGGAGGGTTCCTTGAGAGTTAATATTCTCAAGCAACCAGAAGCTACTGTTATCAAGCACCTACCTATCCCCGTGGGTGCCAGATAACTGGGCGTTTACTGTACTTGAATGTCCGTAGTGCTACAAAAGTAATGACGCAGAGAGAGCCTTGGACTGCAGCTTTCTACCCAGGAGAACAGTGAGTAGATGGTTAGAGGAGTAGGTAAGTAGATGAGTAGGCACAGGTAGGGACATCACTCCAAATTTTGAGAGACTAGCAGTCACAGGTAACAGTGCCTCTCACACAGCAGATATACAGTGATGAGACTGTACACACAAAAGGTTTTGCTGTACAGCTCAGTTAGAGTGTGTGCTCTGGGGACCCCCTTTGTACTCCTTTGTATACTGCCCGACCCAAGAGCACTTTTCCTTTTTGCTATTTGCAAATAGATCTGAGTGGCTGCCATTTCTAAGTACATGCCTCATGTTGTGCACAATACTGGACAGTCTTGAAATGTTGAAATACGTGGACTGGAAGGCCAGATGTCATAAGGAGTTTGGAATGCTTAGGAAAACATGCGACTTGGATCTCTGTGAAAGAATTCCTAAAAAGCGTTATTTGCCAAGTCAACAGACTCTTCAGTTCTTGGCATTCTAGAAGCTGATCAAAGTGCAGGCAAGACTGGGAGAGCATTCTTGCTAAGGCAATAACACCGGGCAGACCTGCGGTCATGTTTTTAGTCCTGTTAATAATAATTGCTTTTAAGGAGGACCAGGACAAGTACTGAAAAAACACCTAAATTATACATTTATTTCACTTAACCATGAAGTATAACAGTCTCATTAATCAGATTGCCAGAAAGAGCTTTGTCTGCTGGGTCCATATTAAGCTTTGGATTCCTCTTATTTTTGTAACCTGCTACTTAGATCATATAAGATATATTTTAAAACAATAAAATGGGATGTAATAAAATATTCTATGGTCTGTGTTCACTCTGCTTTAGAGTACACTTCCCCTTTGCCAATACAGAACAAAGTAAAAGGTTCCCCCCCCCCCCCAACATATACTCTGCTCCTCAGCTCAGTTGGGCATCCAAGACCAGGCAAAATATAGCCTTGCATGAGCACCACATTGATATACTAAGCACTATGGACACCTTCCCTGGCTGTATGCAGTACATGCTCAGGCCAATTGCGAGGACACACCCCCTCTCCCACTTTCATGTTGGAGAGGGGGTGTGAGTGACATGCTCCTGGCATACCTAGCAGTGCCGAGTATTCCATGTCACAGTTGCTGGGTGAAAATATAGGCACTGCCATTGTGCACTAGTTTTTAAACTCCAGGCAAATATCAATGATGCCACATAATGCGATAATACATCATTAAATGTACCGGTATTTATCTTTCGGTAGTCGCCAGGAGCATGGAGGCGGCTTCCCGGTCATTACCGCTCGGCTTCCTCATTGATTGGGTAGCCAACTCCATGCTGTTTTGGCCGGTTCAATGCTGATTCGCTGGGAAGCCGGCTCCATGTTCCCCCCGCGGCACTGCCGGTCAGAGGAAATTTCCCTCTGACCAGAAGTTCCGGTATCGGAGCATTTGGATGAGTACTCGCCCATATACTCGGTATAGGTACCCATACTGGTATCGGTGCATCCCTATAAGTATCTGAATTTGGTTTAATAACAGTGTTTTGTAGTCTCCTGCACAGCAGGACTCAAACCTAGGAGAAGGAGAAGCAGCACGAGGAGCAAGTTAGTTGTGTTAATAACATACTGATAGGAGGAAATGGAAAGCGACAGAGAGATGAGCTCATCGGTCTGCTGCTTCTCTTTTCGCTGGTAGGGAGAGAAAAGATCTGCTAGTGTAACTTAACCACAACAGAGACAATTCAGGTCTCCTGCCCTGACGGAAAGGGCTGTGCTGTTTGACAGCTTTTTAAATTGTAGTACAGGATGAACAGAAATTGAAATCCTTTGACAGGTAAAACAACACCCACATCTGTGTATCTGTATATTTAGCTCTGTGCCTGGAGTTACCTGTAAGTTACAGTATGTCATGGATGGCCAGCTTAAGTCACTGCACTGGAACAAAGTAAGCAGGTCCGAAGTCCCAACACTGCGTTTCTGTATGCTGCTTCCAGGTCAGGGACTTCTAAGTGGTAAAGAAAGGGTCAGGATGGCAACCTTCGTACTTGTATGTTAAACAACAATTAATGGCATATTGCAAATTTTTATACTGATGTGTTCTCTGTAATGTATTTGACACTTCTATTGTCTGATTGTTTGTTTTTAGGGTAAACTTGAAGAAATCGATGTGGTGGAGAAGCTGAATCTTTTCCTGGATCTCTTGCAATCATATAAGGTATATTGCCTGACGATTCACACAATGCAGTCTTTAATAGAAAACCAAAGCCCAACCTTTTTTGACGTTACTTCTCTTTTAGGTCACCAGAGTACATTTACTACTCCTATGATCCAAAGTCAGCAGATAGCAGGCTAATGCCCGATATCAGATGAAAGCACAGAGCTGTACCACAGCCGGGAAGGATCCGGACAATATTGTCAGAATCCACCCCGCTACCAAAGTGACAGCGGACTCTGCCTCTCTAGGGCCAGAGCCAACCATACCCATCCCCTACCCCCATCTGCCCCTCCAGTGAGCACTGGTGCAATGGAGACCGGAGGGGGGAATTGCTGCGGGGAGCAGTGATTGCCAGTTATTGCTCTACGCTGGCAAAAGACCATCATCATCATTATTATTTATTATTATTATGCAGGATTTATATGGCGCCAACAGTTTGCACAGCGCTTTACAATATACAATGGATATTACAGTTACTATACTAAAGGCAAGATGGTATGGAGGGCCCTGCCCGTGAGGGTTTACAATTTAAAAGGGAGGGCCAAGGGATACATGAGGCGGTAGCTGTGGTGATGAATTGTTTGAGAAAGTGATAGTTCAGCGGTTAGGTTGAGAGGTTTATACTATGAGGGGGTTGATCATCAGTTACATGATCGATCATTTCTCAGTATAGAGCCGGTGTGTGACAGTGCCCTATGCCGGCTCTGAGCTGCCGGGAAGGTGTATGTTACTCAACTTCCACTTCTCCTTAGAGGGGAGTTCCACTTTACACTCTGTGTATTAACATGGATTGTTCCCCACTTTCAACAAGGAACTAAATGACATAAAGCGGTTATCATTCAGGGATGCAATGATAACAGTTTTTCGGTATTGAGTACTGATATTTTGCTTTAGGTACTCACCGGTACAGGTGTTTCCGCTGGCATGGAGCCGGCTTCCCAGGCAATCAGGAAGCCGGGTGTCGGGTAGTGACATGCCACCCTTCTTTCTGATTGCCCGGCAAGCCGGCTCCATGTTGTTTGGCCGCCTCGATTGTGATTGGCTGGGAAACCGGCTTCCCAGCCAATCAGCTTTGAGACGGATTCTAGGCCAATCGGCAAGTAATGACTCACCTCCCGACTTCCTGATTGGCTGGGTAGCCGGCTTTCCAGTCAATCGGCATTGAGCCAGATTCTCGGGCAATCAGCGAGTAATGACCCGCCTCCCGACTTCCTGATTGACCGGAAAGCCGGCTACCCAGCCAATCAGTATTGACCCGACTTCCCGGCGAATCAGGAAATCGGGAGGCGTGTCATTACTCGTCATCCGGCTTCCTGATTCCCCGGGAAGCCTGCTCCATGTTCCCCTTTACGGCACTGCGGGTCAGAGGAAATCGTCCTCTGACCATAAGTTCTGGTATCGGAGCATTTGGGTAAATGTGTGCTCGCCCAAATACTCAGTATCGGTACATCCCTAGTTATCATAAATTCCTATTTTATGATTGTAACACGATTCAAGACGTCACCAATGATGTTGTCAGAGGGGTAACCCTGTTCAGCCAATCTCAGATGTCTTTGTTCATTGCAGGATCTGTGTGAAAGGCACGAAAAAGGAGTATTACACAAGCACCAGAAGGCTTTGCACAAGTACAGTCTGATGAAGAAACAGATGATGAGCGCTACTGTACAGAATAAGGAGGCCGAGTCTGTGGAACAACTGGAGTCTCGCATTGTGGAGGCAAGCTCAAGTAGAAGGATGATTTTTATTTTTCCAGAGGGCAGCCAAAATCATAAAGGGGATGGAGGACCTGAGTTATGAGAACAGGCTTCTAAAATTAAAAATGTTCTCCTTGGAAGTAAGGAGATTAAGGGGGGACATGATTTTCATGTATAAAATGTTTACCGGGGATAGTAACATTAGCAGCAAACTTTTTACAATTAACTCCATGACGAGGACGAGAGGCCACCACTTAAAATTGGTGGAAAAAAAATTTCAGCACAAGGGGCAAAGGGGGTTCTTCTCAGTTAGATCAGTCAGGGTCTGGAACTCGTTGCCGCATGCTGTGATTTCTGCTGAAAGTGTGGAATCATTCAAGAGGCGATTGGACGATTTCCTCAGGGACCGTAATATACAGGGTAAAAGTACTCTTAAAATTGATAACACACAAGGGACCTATACATACTACACACCAATAGGACCATACACACATACACAAATAGGTTGGACTTGATGGACATATGTCTTTATTCAACCTCAAATACTATGTAACTATATATTGGCTAGAATAAAACTTATTTCTTCCAGCACCCTGCAGGTATCCCTATCCATGGGACTATGGAACTCTCCTGCATAACCATATCTACCCTGTCACTGGCATAGGAAGAAACCTCTTCCGTGGGACCAAAGACTATACGTGGGAGAGAAGTCAGAAGTCCTCCTCTACCTGTTTGGGGTCAATGATTTAAAGTACCAAAGCATGTAGGTTAGCATGATAGCCAGGCAACTAGCATTTACAGGAGAGGTCAGCCATGGCAGCCTCCACGTTTCTCATGACAGGTTTTCCTGTAATTATTCCGCACATCCATTCACAGAGCTGCCATAGCCATATGTAGACACAAAGTGGGTGGGGTTTAAGTCTTAAGAATAATCAGAATAGGAAACAAGTTAAACACGGGAAAATAATTGGTATAGAATGCAGGGCTTCCAAAATACACTTGAAGTATATGTAAACTCTAACAATGAACTTCTGTTACTTGCTCCTTTTCGGTCTGTTAACTTTACCATTGAAGGGGTTTTGTTATCTCTGAGGAGCGCAAATAATACCCAATGATGCTGCCAGAAATCTAATGAGTTTTGCAAGTTCCTGTGCACTCTGAAGTGTGATCTCAACCAATCTGAGATACACTTTGATGTTCTACTACAGAACACCCCCTATGTTATAAGGAGGGGTGAGCTGTCTTGTACTCCAATCGCATTTCCTAGGCTTACAATGCTGCTTATCCATGGACACAGCACAGTGAGGGAGCATTGTTACCTTAGGACAGGAAGTGTGTTACTGGCAGGATCATCGGGAGAAAAAGGCCTGGAAAAGCACAAAAACAACAAGGATTGACAAGCTGCAATATATGACATTTTTGTTTTTGTCGTTGGATGCATTTTAAAGGCCTATCCATACCAAAACGCTTAAACACACCTGCGTTTACATGCATTTTCTTTTTAGGTAGAGACGCAGCATACTCTATTTTTTTTAAACTGCAGTGCAATGCATTGCACTGGAGCGAATTACATAATTGAAAACCAGTTGTGTGTTTTTTTTTTTTTAATATAGGGCTGCAACCAACTAATTGAATAATCAATAACAATCGATAATGCAAATAGTTGTCAACTATTTTCATCATCGATTTTTGTTGGTTGGATCCCCTAGCCCTCTCTTCCACGCTGGGAGGAGGACACAGCAAGCAGTGGGCGGGTGCAATAACAAGCCTGCTGTTGGCTATTACCATTTGAAATGGCCAATAGCAGGCTGGCTATTGCACCAGCCCACTACCTGCTGTATTTACATTCAGCTGCCGTCTGCGGAATCTTGCCACTGGCAGCTGTCATTCCCTGGCTGAAGCTAATCAAGCGCCATGTGTTTACAATAAAATTATTTATTTATTTTAAATCATTTTAGGTTTCGGCCTGACAAATTCTGCTGCGGGAGGTGCGTTGCAGTGCCATTCATTACAATGGCACCCCAAACATGCCTCCCACCTACAGTGTGATCGCCCGCACTGGAATGCATGGCACTGTGCGTTCCAGTGCAGGCGATTACACTGTGGGTGGTGCGATTGCAACAAATTGTGCATGTAGTTTTATTCTGAAGTAAACTTTGATTGTAACACTGCATTTATGCATTTTTATTTTAACATAAGGATGGTGTTTATTTCATTTTTTTAATCCGATTAAGGGGGGAAAAAATCGCCCAACTAATCGATTATGAAAATAATCATTAGTTGCAGCCCTATTTGTGTATATGCATTTTTTATGTGTTAAACACATCAAATACATTGGGTGGGAATGGGCCCTAAATCTATATAGCTGAAAATAACAAGGGCAGCACCTTTCTTTGTTCTATACAATATACTATTTACTTCAATGTAATAACTGAATTTGAAACATCCTGTTGGGTTTAACCTCCTGATGTATTATTCATTGTCTTTGCATCTTTACATTTATAACTGGCATTTTCATCCAGTAGATGTCCTAAATCTTTCTTTTATTTTCTACACATCGGTCTTGTTCTATATTCAGTGGACAATCTGTTTCTTATTCCAGCAAGAGAACGCCATCATGGTCATGGAGCTGAGGAATTACTTTTCCCTCTTCTGCCTGCATCAGGAAACCCAGCTCATCCACATCTATCTGCCCCTCACCTCCCACATACTTGGGGCGTTTGTGAATTCACAGATCCAGGGGCACAAAGAGGTTTGTTGGCTGCTTTTTGGTTTCATCATCATAGGGCTGATGTATAGATCCTGTGGGGAAGTGGTGGTGGTGTGGTGGGTTAGGTGGTTGGTGGTCATTGCAAGCCGTGAGATGGTAGCTGTCATTTTTCCAGTGCAGTGAACTTTGTGTAATTTTTTTATGGATATCCATTGGGTTAATAAAGCTCTATGTGCATATTTATCTGATTCTGAGAAATATGAGTATGTCAAGCAAGGGGAGGTCCTGCCAGGCAGCTAGAAGAGGATCTTGCTCAAATTAAAATGCCCCTCTATTGGGGGAAGTTAACACTGAACTTCGGACAGGTCTAGATTTACCTCTTGAGTGTGGTCACCAGAACAGATGTCACTCTGGACCATTTACCGTCACCTCTTATTTGGAATTCCGATAGCTTTCTGTCTTGATGACAGTAATTACCAGGGCAAAGAGAGAAAGTGAATCTACATAGAGAGAACAAACACGACAACAAGAACTTAACAGGGTTTCTAATGCCTGCCCATATAGGGGTGGCTATATATACACTTTAAATGTACTTGAGAAACCGCATTCCTGACCCTGTCTATCCGGCACCTGTAATCCTCTACATAGCGGTACTTGGCTTGGCAGAGGGAGGATCAGCATCAATCAGGACTCCGCTGCTTTGTGCAGTGCTGTCCCTCCACAGTGTGAACAATGTTACAGGAGGAGAGAGCAGAGTGGTGATCTCCTTCATCTGCTGCTTTTGTTTCACTTTCTAATCACAGTATCAGGGTAGGAGTATATAAAGTAACAAGTATTTTAACCTTATGATGTTGTGCACATCAATTGTTTCTAAGATAATCCACTAAAGGCATTAATTTAATATTTTCAAGAATTAACAATGTAGAATGGCACTCCAGAGGCTTATCTGATTGCCTTTAGGGATCAGGAAAGCTTTTCCCTACATAAAAAACAAGTATTTGCTATGCTCTTCAGCTCCATCTAGTGGCCATACTACAGTATTACATTACATTCAACTTGAAAAGTACAGTGGTACCTCAGTTCACAAACGCTTCTGTTTGAACAATTCGGTGACTAACACAACCGCAGCCATCTTCCCGGCTCTGACACATGGTCATGGCTTCCTCTAGTCGGGATCGTGGTCTGATCACAGTTTGATTCGGTTCACGACCAGAATCGTGGAACGAATTACGTTCGTGAACAGAGGTACCACTATGCTTCTTAGCTCCATCTAGTGGTCATAATGCACTATTGCATTCAATCAAAAAAATGTATACTGTACTTGGAACATTAGGTTGTTTTTTTTTTTTTTTGTTGCCTTTATTAGGACAGAACGAACATTCACAGAGATCTGCAGGCCGAATGGCTCTGTGCATTGTTTTTAAAGTGTTTGTAGACAAGAATACAGTCCTCAGCCCACCAATCAAGAGATAAAATCACTAGGAATTGTTTTTGTATGCAACAAGCCTCACTGATCGGGATATATTCTCCTATCATCCGATCTGGATAGCATACATTGTATCAGTCAACGCTCAGTGAGCTGAGTAAGCAAGCTCTGACTGATCTATTGTGTTCAACGTGTTTGTCATTTTACATTCATACTAAAAATCAGATCATTTTATGTTTTTTATTTTAGATGACTCAAGTGTGGAATGAATTAAAACCGAAGTTGAATTGTCTGTTTGTGGGATCCTCCGGCCTTCCCACTCCACCCCTGTCTCCTGAGGAACGTAATTTCTTTACTCGCTAGACCCATTTCCAGTGCAAGGCAAATGGACGATTCTGATGCAGCACTTCAGTTCTATAGTGTCACATCGGTCATCACTGGTGAGATTTTGTCCCAGCAGGCTGCTGTTTATGGGAGGATTCACTTTTTGGTGTGAAAATTGACTATGCAGAAATAACCCCCAACATTGAAGGCAGCCAATCTTCAGTACTACACATGCTGCCAATGCACAAGGCAATGACCATATTGGTTTACTTGTTTTTTGTTATAGTGTATGAAAAGTCAAAACCTTTTAGTTCTGGATAGAGTTTGGAAGTGTTGAAGCCTCTGTCAAGTGTTGCTGTGTGTTCCTCCTCTGGGGATATTTTTGTCACCATGGGAGAAAGTGATAGGAAGTCCAAAATGTGATATTTGTCACTATTAAAAGAATACAATGGGAATCTTACAATGAGGACACTGCATAAGAGGGGATTTCCCTTCACTTCTAGAGATCTGTTCTCAGTTTCCTGCTGTGTCTCTGGGAGAGGAAGTCAATGGAAATGTTCCCAATAGGATATAGATGGCAGAAGAAAAAAAACTGACAGGTTTTAAAGCTGACCTCCAGCTTTCCCTTCAGTCTTGCACAGTTGTCCAGGTTCCTCTTCTGGACTGTAATGGCTTACTCTGATTTCACTGCAACTGTGAGCTTTTCCCAATGTGCATTAGAAGCTGCAGCTAGTCAGGCAGGGCCCGCCTCATTTCCTGGCTGGAGGACATCCAGCATCGTCTAGTGCTTGCCTCCCCAGCCATACTATCCCTGGCCCGCCCCTTTCATTCATTGGATTTCAGATCTTTAAAACATGGAAGCTCAGCATCGTGTGTGGATGTTACTAAGCACTGTCTGCCTGCAAATACAGTCTGCCTAGAAAAGCCCACCCCTCCTGACATCCACCCATCAATGCATTTAGATATGTGCATAACACTTCCCAAGAGCCAGCCCACTGCTTACATCAGGGCTGAGAAATCTTGAGAAGGGGGACTGGGGCAGGGTGCTGGGATGTTTTTGGTCAGCTGTGTTCAGCACACTGGGCTAATGAGAAACCAGGGGAGGCAACATACAGGCAGAATAAACTTTGACCATTCCTTACTCTAACCAAAAGAATGTATGGCTTTAGAAATACTTTAATTGATCACGATAAGTGGAGTTACAGGAGTCCTGCTTGTGTTTTTAACAAATTGTTCCTGTTTCAAAATGTCTGCCAGTGTAACTGTTCTGCACAGAACCTGCAGCTCAGTTGCATTTTGATTTCGACACTTCTACATGCCGTTCAGTATTATACGTATGAACCATAAAGACACTGTATAGTGTGCACAAATTCCTAAATGGGCTTTTGCTTTAACCGGAGGTCCAGAATCAAGTTTTAACTTCCCTGTAGTAGCATGGAGATGTCTTTTCCTTAGATAGCTCTTCTATAAACAACAAGGGAACTCTCATTCTATTGTTTACACTGCTCAGAGAACTGAAGTATGTCCATTACTCATATAGGACTTTTATAGAATATTATAGCTGACTTGAGATGCTACAACACTAGATTTCACCAGCAGGTGGCAGTGTAAGTGAAATTGCAGGGCTGTTGTAGAATGGGATGGGGCTGTTGTAGAATGGGATGGGGCTCTTGTAGAATGGGATGGGGCTCTTGTAGAATGGGATGGGTCTCTTGTAGAATGGGATGGAACCAGAAAGGTTATGGAGAACCTGCTGCAACGTAGTACACCTTATGTTGCCAGCAAGATATAAAAGCACAAACTAATGGCAGCCCTTGGGACCCAATCACACTGTTGCATGTGGTAACACACACACTCACCCCAATGAATGTTTAACATGCGTTGTGCCAAAATGAATGGGCTGACTGAACACAATAAATGTTATTGCATTACATGCACATTACTGCAACACAAAAGAACAGCAACGTTTGAAAAGGAACCTGAAGTAAAAGGAGAAACTGTAATTGTATTATAGAAAGAAATGACATTATCTATAATAACATATGCTGACATTAAATACCTTGTTATAGAAGGAAATACTGTGATTAGGGCATCCAGAAGAAGCAGCCATTTGTAGATCAGTTCCATAGTTCACAGAACACAGCCTGTTTATTCTTTAGGAACTAGCGCCATTCCTGAGGTATGTTTCCTGTGCAATGTTGCCATTTTCTTATAAACTGATAGGCAGAATGTTTGTTCAATTGATAATATATTTGAGTTGACCACGGTGACAGGTGCACGTTATGGATTGCTTACTGGTAAATTAGAGTTGCCTTCCTTCGTGGACCAGCATGCATTTCAGTTTGGATTCTCTTGACTTTAAAGGGGCTGGTTTATAAAGCAGAAGTATGGCTTTGCCACAGCAATACCACTGCTTTAAGGGCACATGCATAGGGGGGCGGCTGAACCCATACAGTCTAAAATCCTCCCCACCAGGGAGCCATAGGTGCTGTGTACAGCCTCCCATAGAAGTCAATGGTTGCACTGCATGCATGCATATGGGCACATAACCTTAAATGTAGATAGTCTGACATTTGGGGTTATACACCCATATGCATATTTTGCTCAAACCTGACATATACCAGCCCATACAGCCATTGACTTCTATCGGAGGCTGTATGCAGCACTTATGGCTCCATGGCAGGGGAATTGCACAGGAATTTACGTTCTATGGGTTAAGCCGCCTGTGTCCATGAGCCCAAAAAAACCTCAAATCCTGCACATTTATAGTAAAGCACATTTATAAAGCACAGTAATATGCTTTCTAATAGCTGAGCTTCGCTTTCTGCCAGCTGCGGGACTCAGCAGGAAGAACGCTATATAAAATGAATGGCGCATGTATCAGTCGCATGAGACTGGCTCTTCTCCAATCATGGAGATCTCTCGGCTGTAGAGAGAACTGTGTGGGATACCGTAGCCTGCATTTTATGAATGGCCAGGTGGCGGTATGCTGTAGTAGTAGAATAACAAAGGGCAGAAGGCAATATCAGCTGAATTGACCCCTTTGTGTCTGATTCTTGAAAATGGGTAAAATATGATTGACCTATGGTGATTAAGGGACAATTGTGTATATTGCTAATCCTGATGCTGGATATTTGAATAGATGAATTTCCTCGATCCCTTACCATACACCTGACAACAGGTGAAATGATGTCACTATGTACAATTTTGTGTACGGCTGTAATGTTACTGTATAGTGTTAGTTTGGGGTATATCATTTCTTGTGTTAACTAGCAAAGAACTGGGATGGTGGGAGCACTATTTGTACTCTGCTATCCGACTTTCTCAATGTGCCAGATGTACTCGCCTACAGCGACCGCAGTGTTTGCTGATCTGATTTCTGTCACTTTGGGTTTCTGGGCTTTGCACGTCCATCTTTATTACTCTTTCTCCGGCTTTATCAATTAGGCATGCATAGCCACACTCCTGTAACTTGGAGTTCAGTTATATTCACATTCTGATCTTGGATGTGTTTCTAGAGGACAGTACACAGCTGCTCCTAGTATTTGAATCTGCAATCTCCATTGATCTTTGGAAACATACTGCTAGCAGCCATAATCCCTGTGTATGAGTTTAAGCCTGGGGTAGCCAAACTGCAGCCCTCCAGCTGTGGGGAAACTACAAATACTATCGTCCATCTGCTTCAGAAGGCCATGCCTGTGGCTGTCAGTGTCTTGCAATGCCTAATGATACTTGTAGTTTCATCACAGCTGGAGTGCTGCAGTTTGACTACCCCGGGTTTAAGCAAGAAGTGTAGTTTTAGCCTCTTTTGACCCTTAAAGAGAGACGGTGAATCTGCCATGAATGGACAAAGTAACACTCCCTTTAAAGTGGGTCTTCCATGCCAAACAGAAGGTCTCCTTTTTTGCAAGTCCCCTGCTTCCCCAACCCAAATGGCTTTAAAAAGGCGCGGGTGATGTCACTATGCCTTCCTGCAGTGCTGGGAGCTTGTAATCCCTTAGAACTTCAGCTCATTGTAAGAGTGCATTATTTTGGGATTTCCTGGGAGTCACCTGTGTCTCTCTGGAGAGTTGCAGGTCAGATCTGGGTAGGTCATTGTTTTTCCCCCCAGGTGATCTGTTTGGTCACAAATTGCTTTTTAAAGCTATTTGTGTTGGGAGAGCAGGCGGCTTGTAAGAGAGCAGGCCCTCAGTTTGGCATGGAAGATCAACATTATAGCTCAGCCCCAGATCCACTTATACTCGCCTTCGCTGTGCTCCCCTGCTGCTTCAACGCTCCATCAAAGCTGGTGCCTTTGGGTCCGGGGAGCATGCGACCGCCATCCATGATGGAGTGCTCAGGGCTGAGTTGCCCAGTCACCAGGCCTGAAAATTGACATCAACTTTGACACCAACATCAGCACCCACGCCGCCCACCACAGAACTTGTGCAGGATTAGGATAGTAGAGCAGTGGGGGAGTGCAGCTAAGGTGAGTGCAAGAGGGGCAAGGGACAGTGGGTTTTAAAGAGACCCTGTCACTTGGTCCTTAACAGGGCAAATATTTTTAGATGGTTTATGTAGAATTGGGTGACTGGTGGCCTGTGGAGCGGCTCTGTTCCCTGCAGTTCTCTCTGCCCCTAGCATGTTGCTGGCATACAGGGAGGAGGGATCTGTGACATGCTCGCTTTCAGGGATAAACAGCCTACACTTCCATTTATGCTGCACCAGCCGTATGGCCATGTTCATTCACTAAACTTCTGCTCTGATCAAACCCCCCTACAGAGGTTATATTTATTATATTTGTGCTTCTCTTTAAAGGGAAACTATCAGAACAGCGATTGCCTAGCATATTTAAGGCTCCCATTCAGCGGGATGGGCTGTCATTTAACATGGAAGTAGTGATAGATTTAGGGCAGACATCACGGTGTATGATAGTGCAGAAACATGCTCTGCCCTGGATCTAACCCTTCTTCCAAGAGTCAGGATGGCTCCCTCTAGTACCGGAGGTAATGCTGGCCATACAATGTTAGAATTTTGTCCGATTCCTGTAAATTGTTAAGTGTGTGGCCCTGCCGGATCGGCAGATGTCGAATATTGAATCGACTTATTTGAAGGAGCCGGGCTGAAAACATTTGCCCAA